AAGAAGCAGTTGAATACGATTTCGAAAAGCCTGATCTTTCTTTAATTGTTATTTATAGTGTTTAAAAGTCAAACATTTTGATGCTATCAATTTAAGCAAAGGTTTATGATTTCAAATTTTCTTAAAGTTCTTTGGATTTCTTTATTATCTGCAAAGGATTGTCACTACTTCCTGAATATGTTGTACTGTTCTTTCGAAGTTTCGTCTTCACTGATGTTGATTGTTTCGTGAGGAGTAAAGAAAAAGGCTTCGTAGAATTTTACTAGTTCCCGCTAAGTATCTTTGTAAAGATTTTTATGAAGTTTAAGAATCCACTATACGTGTAGCTATTCAAATTCAATTTGGTTGTTGGGAACATGGAAAATGTGAAACAAATTACTTATTAGCGGGCCATCCATGTCTTATGAATATCTCTTAATATAGCTTATTTATATATTAATATAATTTGTAATTTTGATACTTATCTTTTGGCATTTATTCGAATCAGTACACTGGTACCGGTATCTATCTTTCAATAAATTTTAAATGGATTTAAACAAAAAACATTTAGTGAACTTTATGAATTACTCCATGTCATTTTAGATATACTGAATTTGACAATTCTAGAAATATAATGCCTGTCAAAAACAATTTTTCTTTCAGCATATGAAGGAAAAACCAGCAAAACGGAGACGTTTTCAACTACAACGTCTACGACAGCCTCTTATCGCCAGGGTAAGTTTCTATATTTATTGAAAGAAAACATAAAGTAATTGTGATTGTAAAACCCTCTTTATGGAGGTATTGATTAAAATAAAACTCAGAAACAGACAAGGATTCAGTTATCTATCGAAAATAATGCTTTTAAAAATAAATATCTCTTCTTACTTCCTACTTTCTTTTATTGAGATGCAGGTCATTAGCTACTAGCTAATCAGTTTACAAAACTCTGGCAGAATTTAGAAATATTTTTTGTATAAGAATATAAGCATTTAATAGCACATAGAAAATGTACTATGAAATATTTCATAGCAAACGCAAGAAAATAGTCTTACTGAACAATCTGAAGAAAGAAAGAAATAACAATCGCCTTTTCGTGTTGTGTTTCTGTTTTGTGCGAAATTACAAGACCTTCGACATTGATAACCATTTTTCAGGCAATGAAGTGTCTTTAATCTTCAGTTTCCTTTCTATTGCAGAAATTCCTTCTTTTACGAGACCGACAGGTTAGAAATGAAAATTTGTTTTAATTTTAAGTCTCTTGACCCCCTTACATATATTTTTCCATCTATTTTCAGAAGTTTTTCTTTCCTTAACCTCAATTTATCTGTGCATCTACTGAATACATTTGAAAAGAAAAGAAATTCTGTAGTCAATGGATTATCTGATTAATCTCAAATAATATTCTTAGTTTGTCCTTTATAAAAGTTCTACTGTGTGCATAGTTCCATGTATTTATGTACGGTTTCTAAGTCTGTGCATACGTTTTTCGGTACCTTGATTTTTTCCTTTTTTCAATTACTGCACATAAAACACAGATGTACAGACATTCATGTCGTCCACAAGAAAGTCATCAACTCTTCAATTACCCGAAAGTAGGTTGTTTCTAAAAGATTTTATTTCTGTTTAAATGATAATTAAAGTCATTGTAATGGCAAAGTGCAATATGCCAATGTGTTTATCTCCTTTATTTTAGTACGGAAGATGGAAGGTTAAGGGGGTTTCTGATAATGTTATTACTATAATGTCAGATAAATAGAAATTACAAGGTCAAATGAGAAATTCATAAATGGATAATGATGAGTTGGAATTTGTCAATTAAACAGGAATGTGTTTTTAATTTACTTAAAAGATTGTATGGACCTTAGAATGAACTGCTTTTTGTGTAAGAGTTATCGCGCTTGAGTTGTCTCCGATATGAGGAAAGGTAGATGCATAGGATTCTTGGAAACGAGAACATTTTGTTCAACGTTTTCAATGGATATGGTGTGCGTGAAAAATGTGGTCTCAGCCATTCAGATAGCTTTTCAATTTCTTCTAGGACTCCTATCTTATTTCAGATAACTCTACCCTGCGTCATCTTCCGGTTACTCTTGCTTATTTTTGTGTGTAATTCTCTGATTTCAGACCACAAATATTATGTGTTTATATAGTATGTAATCAGTTACGTCAAATAATAATGTAATTAATGTTTAGTTATCAATCAATTTCATCATTTGGCTAACTTTGGCTCTATTTTCATATAGTCTAATAGGCATATAATTGTATCAATCTCATAATTTCATTGACTTAAAACTGACTATTGCATAATCAATTACAATTATCAGTAATAATGGTGGCAAAATGCAACCTAACCAAAGTGTTCTTGTGGATTATCTGAGTATGGAAAAGATGGATATTAAAGTGGTTTCTGGAAGTGTTAAGATATTACTATGACAGTCACTGCAGAAAATAGAAATTACAAGGACAAAAAAGAAATTAAATCAATGAATAATAATGCATAAGTATTTGGCATTATTGCTTGTGCATAAAAGAGATTTATTTGCAAACATGCGCTCAGTTCTCTTGTTCTATTCCTCGGCAACACCTCACCCTCTCTCAAAAACCTCATTCTTTGAAAATAAAATATTATAGTCTAAATCAACCAAATAATACAATGAAATATTTTGAGATAACGAACAGTATTAAAGCTCAAAAGTCAATTAAACATTACAAAATAGGAGCAGAGCAAACACGGACCTCTAAGACATGAGAGATGAGATCAGGTGCCATGGAGGAGTGAGTATCCCCTGCCGACCGGTCACACCCGTCGTGTGCTCCTTGTCATGATCGGGAAATAACAGAAAAATCCGTCGACAATTCAGTGTGTAAATTAACTAAATTATGGCCTAACAACTAGTATGAAAAAAGTCAGTCAGCATTTGACTTAATGATAGATTATATTTGCTGACAAGGTCATTGTATCGACCGTAGAACCTACGAAATGATGACTTTAAACGAGATTGTTGATATTCTTGTTTCATCAACTTGTTTGTCAATAACTTAGCTCGTTTTAGAAATTGTTCGTACGTAGAGCATGCTCTGGCGTATCGAATCAACTGAGAGATATAAACCCCGTATGCAGGTGATAAGGATATGTTGCTATAAGTATTTCATAGACAGTTTCATGTGAACTTTTATTACTATAAATCTAAATAAAATTAAATACTTTTACTAGTATTAACTCTTTTTTTTAGTTTTAATTTAAAATTTGAATATGAATTACGGAAGCCCATTAGTTCCAACCAATATATATAAAAGGAAAAGATATATATAAAAGCAATCTTTTATATATAAAACGAATCGTGATAAATAAAAAAATAAAAATTTTGATATATAAATGCGAAATATGAAAAAACATACATATAAAGGGAAATGCAAAGTATTTAAAGAGAAAAATTTCTATTGTATGACCTTTACTGACATTCATGACGTCAGTGATGCCCAAGCATTCGATAAGCGGCTCTTTGCTTTCGTTGTTTGAATGTAGGGCTGAGATGCATAATTTATTAAAGATCCATAGAAAAATGTAGAAAGATATTCATAAGTAGAAAATAAAAATAAGTATATGTTTTATGATTCACAGCTGCGGCTGTTAAATCCATTCTCAAATTTTTAATCTTTCTAGGTTTTTAATACTAAATCATTTTTAATTTGCTTTTTCATATTTTATTGGACCTCCTACAGGTCTCATCTCTACTTTTTCTGCCACTACAACAATTACAGGTAAGAAAAGAATCCATTTTCACATGTGCATGTAAGTTGTATACCTTGCCTTCTAGTCAATCATTTTCAGTGATTTTTCATAATCGTGAAAGATTTTATATTCTCTTCAATTTACATTAGTTTATATTCAGATTCGGAATATTGGATCAGATGAACAGAATTTTTTATATCATTTCATGTGTACATGTAATGGCACACCAATAAAAAAATAACATTATATACTGATAAGCTACTTAACACCATTACAAATTCCAGATTTCATTTGTTGTAAGACTTATAATTACTGTGAAATGTATAAAATATAAATAATTTGCACTGGCTTGCTAATAATAATAAAATAATGTATGAAATGTATTAAATATAAACGATTTGCACTGGCTTGCTAACGTGACATAGCATTCTTAATCCTATTTAAGTTGAAAGTCACATAGAGTTGTATATTGCCATTGATACCTTTTTTATGAAATCTTTCTTTCCGCAGACTGCCATGATAATCCGAGTGCCAGCTGTTCTCTCTATAACTCGGAGATATGTGATGCACATGGTGCATACTACCTATGGGCTCGAAAAAATTGTCCTCTTTATTGTGGATTTTGTCAGGGTACGATAACAACTAAATTAATTCTCTACCAGTGCTGGAAATAAAAACGTTCTTGTATGATGAACATTTTTGATACCGTGTTTTTACAATATCAAAAGCAGCAAAAAAACGTGAAGTGAAGTTTTTTTTTTTTTCAATGTGAGTTCATTTGCTCATGTATAAAAATTGATAGACTATAACAATTGAATCTAAATACTCTCTAATCTTAGAGAGAAACGATAATTGCGATGAAAGAAATTCCTAGTTAATTTTTTTTTATTTTTGTTTTTGTTTTGGTCATATCAAGATGCATTTGATCTATTCTTTGGTAATAATATTTGTTTTAAAGATTAGACTGATTGGTTTCCAAATTGTGGTCAATAAATGCAGAGAATGGCTTTATGCTGTATTGTTAGAATGTTTTAAGTCTCTTTAATGACAGTATTTGGAATTGTAAAAAAATAGAAATGTTCACCTAATCTGCTATTACTAATAATTATAAATACTTTATAAGCTTGAGGAATCCAGATTTAAATATTTACTATTTTTTAAATTCAAATCTTTCCTCCTTTTTTTGCCACATTTTATGATAAAGATTATACTTAAATTGAATATATGTTCTGGAGAATTGTTTTTCCAGTGTTGACATGCAAAGATAACCAAGAATCTAACTGTGCAATCAACTGTGATTTGTGATGTGAATGGTTCATACTACTCTTGGGCAAGAGAGAATTGTGCTAAAAGCTGTAAATTTTGTCAAGGTAACATATAAGATATATAGTTTTTCCTCTTTTGCGTTTAACAATGTCAACGATTATACGCCACTAAAACGGTGTCAAAAGAACTAAAGACAAAAAACTTTTTTAAAAATTTAAGATAATGTGTTATTGCAATTATTTTTTCAGCTAATTATCCCTTCCATCCTTACAAATACAAAGATTTTTTTGTTTGCATGATATCACAGGCGTTTAAATCAAAATACAATTTTTCAAATTTTGATATATTTTTTTAAGTCACACCAAATCAAGGTAACACTGAAACTACGACTGCTCTCTTTACGTCTGGATTCCATGAAGGTAATTTTCGCATTTATTTATTTGTTTATAATACTTAGTTATAGTCAATATTAAAGGAAATAAATATATCTATCAGATTACGTGTACCACAGAGCAATGCCGAAACTAATGAGAGCATTTGGCAACACAAGGACACCGTAGTAAATTTCAATGATTCTCACCAAATTATCGCGCATGTAAATGCTTTGTAATAACTGATAGAAATATACAATTAATACAACAGTATTTTGGTTATGATATTATTATATACGATATTTCCCCTTTAACATTAATAAAAGTGATTTAAAGTGTATCATCATATTCCTAATGAACCCTTTTGGCGTGTGTCTTGAAAGTATAATTATAATAATATTGTGTTGAAGCTAGAATGAAAAGCATAATATAATACCTTAGTAGACTCAGTGCGCCAGAAGACCCGTGCATTTGTATTCGAGCTTATTTTGAAATAAAACGAGGAGTTTGGATTTACATAAATTTAATTAATAAAAGTGATGAAAGAACTTATTTATTGCAACATCAAATAGTCCATGACTAAAATTGACACAGAACTTTGAATATGTTAAAATAAGCAGACATTCATAATTTGTTAATGTACTGGTTTCCATAATTTCAGTTTGTAAAGATACTTTGAATTGTAATGTGTACAATGCAGTTCGAGTGTGCAATAAATCAGGGATATACTATGAATGGGCAAAGAGAAACTGTGCGTTATACTGCGGATTCTGTCAAGGTTAGCAAAGAAAGAACACAATAAGTAAGATCTTATTGAGAAGTGAACAGATATTTTCCAATAATTTTTTTAAAAGTGCAAAAATGTTGAATAGTTATAATTGAGGATATTAAATAGAACAATAACATCATTTATAATCTGGGTTTCTACATGTATACAGTGATATTTAAATGTTTAATTATGGAGAATTTTTTTGTCGTATTACAGAAAAAAGCACAGAAGGGAAAATTTTGTGCATTTAAAGTTTTTTCTTTAATATACTCAGCACCAACAATCACAATAGCTTGTACAGACAAACTTTCCAACTGTTACGAATATCCAAATGATTTATGTACCAATCCTTTTTATCGTGTATGGCGAGGAGAATACTGCAGAAAGTTCTGTGGCATTTGCACAGGTAAAGATAAGTATTTAAGAAAACTAAATATCTTTCTTCAGAGTTTGAACAACACTATCAAATAAATACGAAGGGCTTTCAAATAATACGTATATAATATCGATCGCTTTTCATCATATTATTTTTACAAAATTATAGATCAACACATTCTCATATGTAAAAATATTTATTTTGTATATGTGTGAAGCTTCATTCCATTTGATTTGATGAAACTCATATTGCTTGATTTTATATTCAACATGTTTTGTCACGACTGAACACTCTCAGTAACATTGTAACGTCTGAAACAATGTTGTGAAGTTTCTCAAAATTACTCTACCTCTTCATTTCATTTCTCGGTATATGGCTGAAATAGTGCCGATTCGGCGTAAAACATTAATCAATCAATCAATCAATCATTTCTCGGTAATCATTCACGTCTCCATTACACTTGACACTTAGATTACTTACAATTGTTTGACAGCGAAAATGAGGTCGTTTTTAAATTTATCAAAATCTGTATCGTGTATCTTTGCTTTCACATATTCCGCACTAGTGAAGCGCACATCACTTTCTATGACGTTACTAACGCATTTGACTACATTTGTACCTATAATCTGCCTCTCACAGACCTTCCATCGTTCGAATCAAAGTCTCAAAAACTGTCTTTTCCATTAATTTACAAATGCATGACCTATGCACTTAATTTTGATATATATCCTGATTCCTCCAGAAATTTCATAGTTTTTTATTGAGATTTCCAAGTGCGACGTCAACTTTTTCAAAATGTTTTTGATGACTACTACTTGAAAAAATAATTGTTTAACGAAGCTATATTTTAATGCATCACAAATAGGCATCAGAAATGACGTAAAAATACTTATTTTGAACATTAAATTTTATTTAAGCGCCATTTATTAGAGATATCTCCTTAGACATTTTAAAGTGCATGTTAGTAAATTACTTAACTTTGACCGTTCTCCTTGACCTCATTATCGCTGTCTTAAATTTGATGTAATTTTAATAAATATCAAGATATATTTAATATTTGTGATTTTATTTAAAAATATGTCCATCAAATTTTATAATTTGACGTTAAATAAAAAGTTAAGGCAAAAGTATTCGCCTTTTCTTGATGAATGCCTTTGTATATTAAAGCTCTTTTATAACTGAGCTTGAAATATTGAAATATTTTTCCTCTATGAATTTCAAACTCTCAATTCAAAATGAAATTTGTTTCAGAAACTTGCAATTGCGTTTTTTGAAATCTTTCAGATACTGATTTCGTGATAGACTCATCTTCGGTGCTAGGATAATGCTTGATGCCTGTAACAGGATTGAATATAACAATAAAATTTTATCAATGAAAATGACATACTGTTTGGTTTTAATTTTTCAAAGTTTCCTAAAATTCGTCGCTAAAATATACTTTACTTCATTTACATCACTTCATGTTTCTGGTAGAGTACTGTTGATGATAAAAGCTTCTTCAAATTTTGATTAAAATCAGTTTTTTCCACCAAAATCAATAACATGAAAACGTATGATTTTTTCTACACTTTATAAAACCATTCCTCTCGATAAAATAAACACAAGACTTTATGACTTTATAGACAACAGTTTTTATGCCCCCGTTGTGGAAGATTCGGGGGTATAAAATATGTGGAGATAACGAACAGTATTCAAACTCAAAAGTCCATTAAACATTACAAAATAAGAGCAGAGCAAACACGGACCTCTACGACATCAGAGGTGGGATCATGTGCCATGGAGGAATGAGCATCCCCTGCCGACCGGTTACATCCGCCGTGTGCTCCTTGTCATGATCGGGAAATAACGGAAAAATCCGTCGACAATTCAGTGTATAAATAATGGCCTAACAAATAGTATGAAAAAAGTCAGTCAGCATTTGACTTAATGATAGATTGTATTTGCTGACAATGTCATTGTATCGACCATAGAACTTACGAAATGATAACTTTAAATGACATAAATGATATTCTTGTTTCATCAACTTGTTTGTCAATAACTTTCTTCGTTGTAGAAATTGTTCATACGTAGAGCATGCTCTGGCGTATCGAATCAACTAAGAGATATAAACTCCGTATGCAGGTGATAAGGGTATATTGCTGCATAAGTAAGGAAAGTTGACGATTGAAAAAATAAAGTCATCACGTTTATCATAAAGGTTTGTTGTTAGATTACCATTTTTTCATAAAATATACAAATATGAAACAGGTGTGTCAGACTCTGTGGTATCTTTTATTTCAAGCTCATCGGGATACATCGTGTCGACATAAGAATGGAAATAACCATTGTTAATTGACAATACGTCGTCGATATATCTAAATGTCGAGTTTAAGGCCACAGCAAGTGTTTTCTTCTTTTCATGTATAATATTTTGAACAAATTCTGCTTCATATGAATACAAAAATAGGTCTGCTAATAGCGAGGCGCAGTTGGAACCCATGGGAATTCCAATAGATTGTTGGAAGACCTGGTCTCCAAAAATCACATAGATATTGTCAATCAGAAACTCGAGCATCTTTTTCATGTCAACTTCAGGGTACTTGTGTGTACAATCAGATTGTTTTTTAACAAAGTAATTTTGCAAATGACCAATGACAGGGTAAGTAAATTTACCAGTTCCATTTTTATTGAAAAAGCAGCTGTCAACGATGTCAGAAAGCCTGGACTTTCATTTATCTTGGGGAATAGTTGTATATAAAGTTGAAAAGTCGTAAGTTTTTATGTTGTTGATTTTGGTAAAATTTTGTGATTTCAAATGTTCCAAAAGTTCCTTGGAATTTTTTAGTATCCAGTTTTTAGAATCCAGTATACAGTTTTTGCCCTGTCTGTCTGTTTGTCTGCAAAAACTTTAACCTACCCATAACTTTTGATTGGTTGGAGCTATGGCTTTCATATTGCATATGTGTATTCCTTGTGACAAGACCTTCCTTTGAGTACCAATGTATTTGACTCTTGACCTTAGAGTTTGACCCACTTTTGCAAAAAATACTCAACTTTAACCTTGTCCATAATTTTTGAACAGTGTATGCTAGGGTTTGCATATTTCACATATGTATTCATCGTGACAAGCTCTTTCCATGGGTGTTAATATGTTTGACCTTTTGACCCTGTCTTAAGAGTTTGATCTACTTTTCAAAAAACTTTAACCTTGGCCATAAGTTTTGAACAGTGAACGATATGGCTTTCAGATTTCACAAGTATATTCCATACGACAAGACCTTCCTTTGGATATCAACAATTTTGACCTTTTGACCTTGATTTTGGAGTTTGACCTACTTTTGAAAAACTTTAAACTTCGCCATAACTTTCGAACAGGTGGTGCTAGGGCTTTTATATTTTGCATGTATATTTCTTATGACAGAGTCTTCCCCTGATTACCATTAATTTTGACCCTTTGGCCTTGATCTTGGCGTTTGATCCCATTTTAGAAAACATTAACCTTCCTCATAACTTTTGAATAGTTGGTGCTTGGGCTTTCATATTTACCAGGTACACGTATATCCATTGACACAAGTCTTTTTGGGGTAACAACATTTTTGATCTCTTGACCTTGACACACATGGAGAACAGACTTTTCCTTTGCTACGCACGTTTTTTCTATGTGAGTAAGAATTTTGTTCACTTTTGATACAAAAAAATAGTTTATGTTGGGGATAGAGTAAGTTTTGAGTAAACCTAACACGTGCTTTAGTGGAAAGTTAATTTCTTCTTGAGGTAATTGAATATTCTGTACATTCTGTATCATTTCTAACGTTAAATGTTGTACGTCTGAGTATACGCTTACTTATTACTTCCTTTAGAAGAAAATTTTGAGCTTACCTTATTAGACATTTTCATCTGAACTTTTGAGAATCCGGATGCTTTTTCCCCAATAAACATGTATTTGAAGCAAAAATCTTCGAAGATTCTTCTTAAGTTAAATTTGAATTAAATATATTCTTTTCTAAATTTAAAAACATATATACATTATTCTATGATAACTACTTTACATGAAATGAGAATTCCAAAGTGGAATACTATTTCTAGTGAATTTTAAATTTTTCCCTTATAAAATTGATGCAAAAATTAGCACTTAAAATCGAGCAAATAAAAAAAATGTGTTAAGACGAAAAAGAAAATACCCACTGATTTCTAAGAAGCCAAGAGGACCTTTGCTGACCTTATGTGCTATGGCAAGTTAGTCATAATTAAATGATGAAAATTATTTTAATGCTTCTTTTGCATTCAAAACTTTTTTTCTTTGTTGATTTCACCTTCAATTTTAGGAGCGAATTCAAGAACTCCAACCTCTGGACAGATGTTGCCAATCTAGGTCATTAAGTACAGTGACTTCAAAAAGACAGAGTTAAGGTAATATTCTTGAAGGGAAATTCATAACTTTTAAAAGAAAAAAGTGTTTTACCATTTATCTCTGAACATATACATGTAGATTAAAATTAAGATTTTTAAAAAGTTTTTCATTGATATATTCAGTCCGTCTAATTGCTATATAGTTTATTTCATTGCATTAGACTTAAAATACATTTTAAACTTTAGTAACAAAAAATAAATTAATGAAGAAATTTTGAGAATAATGTTTTTTGTTGTT